AGAAGAAGGGTGTTCCCTTCTTCTTCTAGAGCTGCATTTTTGTTCCTCAGCAAGATCTGATGTTAGCAAAGGGTGGCAGTTCCTCTCCCTCTTAAACTGAAGGGCAGCCATCAGGCAATGGTTATTTTCCATTAGATGGTTGCCCAGCTCAATCTGCTCTCCCTCTGAACTGCTTCTCTAAAATAAAACGCTTCTTCACACGTATCTGTGAGCCACTGCACTTACGGAGCGTTTCTGTGGAGCCCAGCAGTTCCCACAAAGGCCCCATGTTTGTGCTGTGAAAGCTTTGCCTGGAAGGCCTCTGTGTGGGCAAAGCAGCCACGTCAGGCAGAGGAAACTGTGCAGCCTTTTTGCTCCCCTTAACTGAGTTAGCTTTTTGGGTCTTGAGCAAACGTTGCTTGAATGCAGATCACAATATTTGCTTAGTGACCCAGTGGAATGTCTGGGATATTTTTATTTTTTCTCCAGAGCCAAAAAGTGCTCTTTGGCTCTACATCCCTGCACTGCTGGCCTGAAGCAGTCGCTGCCCATGCGCAAGCAGGGCTGGGCCAGGCCAGGCCAGGCCATGGGACGTCGGCTGGCAGCGAGTGCTCTAGTGCTGCGCTGGTGGTGGTTGATGAAGGTACTGTGAAAGCACAGGGAGAGCATTGGGTGCTTGCTGCATGCTCCCACTGCAGCAATGCCTTGTCTCCTGGCTGGCCTTCCCGATGCTGTACTGTGTCCCTGTCACTATAGCTCTGGCAGACATCATGGTCAGTCCTGCCAGGCTGCACCAGGACTGTGGGAGAATAGAGAGAATCCAGAGATATCTGAGCATGCAGAGATGATGATAGGAAGGATAGAGAGCCATATGGTGGGGGAGAGAGTCACCAGCGCTGAGATCAATTAAGATTCCAGCTTCTTCAGGGCTGTTGTAGTATCCCAGCTGGCTTTCCTTTTCCTCTCCCAGGGCCAGCCACTGCCTCTGTGGGATCAGCCACTCAGGATCATTAACCTTCTCTCTGCTGCTGTTACACTCTGTGATGGTGCTGTTTCGGTAACAAATACTGTACTTCATATCAGAGCCTGGACTTTGGTGATTGCAGATACGCAGGGTAAATAACTGATGGCTCAAGTCCAGTGCTTCATTTCATTTTTTTTTTTTCATTTTCTTTGTTAACTGTGTTAACAAGGCGCTTGTTGTCTGATGTCAAGGAAAGAAGATATATTAAATAATCAAGTAGTTCATTTTCTGTATGACTTTTTGATCACAGTCTTGAATGAGAGCTCCTGGAGTCCTGTGTGCGTCCATGTTCCCATGCCAGACTCCTGTGCCAAGAGAGCATCTGCCCCTGCGTAACGTAATAATTATACCTCTTTACAGCTTGGATCCACTTTCCTGGAACAATCTTAATTGACAGACTGGGGATGGGGGACAGAGGGAGAAAAGGAAATTGGGCTACTTGACTTCTGGAGCTCAGGTGAAGAAAAATTTATGGCAGAACCGACTTATAATGTGGAGCTTTTTGTGCCCAGTGGGCCATCAGCTGCATGGTGCTATGGAGCTGTGCTTGGTATGTATAGGAGCTGAGCTGTTCTTTTCTCAGACGAGCTGAAGGTAAACAATATGCGCTCAATTATGAAGAAAGGAACTGTGTCTGAAAATTGAAAAGTCCTTATTACATTTGACATCAGACTGTGATAGTAGTGAAGATTTCTGTCAGCTGCTCCTTTGGTCTTTTTAGAGTTTGTAATTAGGCTTTGTCAAGCCTAGTTATTAAAGCATATTTTGACTATATTTTACTGGACTGAAGACATTTAAAACAACATTAAAATTCTCCATGGTTTTATGTATCCATCATAGGGAATGGAAGACACATCATGTATGTTGACATGAAGCATCTTTATGTGTCTGTGGCTGTTATGAAAGGCCAAGGCATGGTGTTATTCCACTGAGGACAGTTTTGTCAGATACTGACATCAGTGTTGGCAAGTCTCTAGGGCAAAATAAGGAGCTCTTCAGAGCATGTTGGCTTTTCCTCAAGATTTGAATGTTTGCAAGCTCAGAAGTGCTGAAACCACAAGTATTTGGTGTTGTGTTGGGTGGCAGTGGATTGCCTGCAAGAGAAAGATCTGATGGAAAGTGCCAGTTTTTGCAGAGAGGATGGAAAGAATATAGATAATTTTTAACATGCACAGGGCATCCACAGGGAATTGGATCTTCCAGGAATCCCTTGGAAAAATGAGATGCACAAACCGAGGACTGCAAGAACCATAAGGAAATATATTTCTTCCCCTGGAAGAAGATACAATATGAGATACTTGTGTTCCTTAAGGTTAACACAGTGGCACTGATAGGCTTTTCCGTTCCCTTCCTTCCTTTTTCTTTTTCCTTTTTTTTTAACTTTGTGAATGCCTCATTATATTGTCTAAGCATAAGTATTTATGAATGTGTCCTCAGAGGAAAATGATTGTATATAATGATGATGCAATGCGTTGTGTAAGGAAGCAACTTTCCAAATGCTGCTACACCGTTATGCCATGGCACACTGGGGACAGTAAGACTGTTAAGTCCATTTTGGTAAGTGAGCCATCACCCCATCCTTCTCACTAGCTGCTTTGCCCCTAGTGTGTGCATCCAGAGTAATTCACCACTTTTCTTCATCTAATAACTTTATTTAAGGAATTACTTTTTAACACCAGAGCTGGGCAGCCCACATGGGAGTTGGTAGCTGTCAGGGTGCAGTTGGCAGCAGGGGGAGGAGCAGCCTCTGCTGCTGGTGGTGCCCTGAGCATTGCCTGGGTATCACTGCCAGCATGCTGCGGTATCTGCCTCTTGATGCAGCCCTTCTCTGCTGGGCCTCAGGTTTTGGGTTCAACTCTGAGGTGTTCCTGTCTGCATACTCCAAGCAATCCTGGTCTTCTCTAGGGCACAAACGTTGCAGCAGTGGCAGCACCTCTCCTTCAGCCATGCATTCAGAGCAGCGTTTGGGCAGTGACAGAGTGCGTGAACAGGAGGCTAATTCTCCTTTCCTCAGGGTTTAAGGGCTTTGTGCAAATCTCCTTGAAGTCTGTGAAGGAATTCTATTGCTGCAGTGGGCTTTGAATCTGACCCCAGATGCACAATTAACTTGCAGCACGTGTTAGTCTTTTGCTGTCTTGCTTGCAAATATGAAGTGGTACTGAGCAAACCTTTGGAGGATATGCTGAGTACCTGTGAACATGCAAAGCTGCACATTGATCTCCATCTTTTCAAAGGAGCATGACTGTGGATGTATGTCAGACTACCCCACAGTATGTTGCAGCTACATACTCTTTGGTCTTTTATGTGCTCTTTGTACACGTTCAGTTGGCATTACAAGCTCTGAGGTTTTCTCTTATGTTACTGTACAGTACTTCAGGGAACTCATCTCTCATCACTAATAAAATAAAACAAAACAAAACTCTGGTAGGTCTTGCCTTGCTAACTGCTCTAGCTGGTGTGGTTCCCACTGTGCCAAAAATTATAAAGCCATACAAGATTTAAAATATTCCCAATGCAGAGGAACAATATTTATAGACAAAGAATAAGACTTATTTTGAAATGTCAGTGCTATGAAATTGCTTTTTTGGCAGGAGTGTTTAAGCCACATGGACTTGCAGTACTGTTTTGTAAGCGTATTCCTTAATTATGACTTAATTTAGGTCTCTGAGCTTAAGAAAACCAATGAAACTAGCAGCAAAATATTTTTTTTTTTGTGGAAAATCTTGTTCATGTGGAACACAAAATTTGTATTCCTTGTGGATTTTTGGTGTTTTCAAACTTGTATTTCTTTCTTTTAATCTTTTTAAAGCATGTAAAAAATAAAATACTGATGCTGTGTACTTAATACAATGTTTTGAAGAAATAAGCTTGGAAAGTGCATGTGATTACTTTTTCCCCAATCACCTTGAGTAAAATGCACATGATATTATAAGGCATCATGAAATGCACCATATTCTACCTCAAACAGTAACTGCTGCAAGAGATAATTTAGAACTAATTCTGCTTTCATATATTTGTTCATAAATGCAGCATTCTAACAATAGCAATAAGGAGAATAATCTGTGTAATTGTATTTTTATAGTATTACTCTTTTTCTGGAGGAAATCTCTTTTCCCAGATTAAGTAGTCTTCCATTCAGCCGTGAGTGGAATAATGCCTCTTTAGCAGCTGAGGAGAGTTAAGGGAATTTTTTTTTCTACAGCCTTAATATGGCATTTTGATAGGGACTACTCCGTGACTTAGACTTTTAGTGAATGAAATAGGGCACAGGCATGAAAACTACTGCTTTTTTTGTGTAGATTAGATAAAAGGAGAAGTAAGCAAAATAGCTGTACAGAAATCTAGCTTAATCACATCTTCTTGCCTTAACTGCTAGATTATTATTATTCTTTCTTAACAACTTATTTTCTTAAATCAGTGTAGGCAATGTCTTAGCCCTGTAGCTCAGCCCTTTTCAAAGACAGAGTCTTGAACAGTTTTGAGCTATTCCTGGCTTAATACTTAAGTAGAAATAGTGGAAGCAGTAAAGAAAACAAACATTTAAATAGTTTTAATTAAGTCTTCTGCTGTGACGGTGCTCTTTTGATCTCTACTACTAGTGTCTGAAAATGATATGAATAAATAATCTGAAAATAGTACAAAATAAAAAAAAAAAAAGGTGGTTAGCATCCCAGCTACCTGAGGCCTGCTCCTGCTAATACAAGCTTAGGGGCATGGGCTTTCAACCTGAGCTTTTACAGGTGACCTGAAGAGAGTGCAATCCCTTGAAACTTGGAGACTGAACACTTTTAATGTTGGAATTTGAATGGTGAAATCATTTGAAGAAACAAATGCCTGGCAACCAGTTTGAAGTTTTTTAATGAAGCGATGAGGTTACAGGGAAGTTTGGGAAGTGAGTTGCTTTTATTTTCCAGGCAAAAGAAAGTTCCCCGGGGTAGCAGGAAGCAACACTGGAATCTAGTGCCTGTGTTTCACCTATCTTTGCTCTTCTCTGCAGGTTACATATTTGGGTAAAGTTTCCACAACAGGGATGCAATTTTTGTCAGGCTGCACAGAGAAACCAGTCATTGAATTATGGAAGAAGCACACACTTGCCAGGGAGGATATTTACCCTGCTAATGCTCTTCTGGAAATTCGCCCTTTCCAAGTCTGGCTGCATCATCTAGACCTCAAAGGCGAGGCAACAGTCCACATGGATACCTTTCAGGTAGCACGTATCGCCTACTGCACTGCTGACCACAACATCAGCCCAAACATCTTTGCTTGGGTCTATAGGGAGATCAACGATGACTTGTCCTACCAGATGGACTGCCATGCTGTAGAGTGTGAGAGCAAGCTGGAGGCCAAGAAGTTGGCTCACGCCATGATGGAGGCCTTTAAGAAGACTTTTCACAGCATGAAAAGTGATGGCCGGATCCACAGGAATAGTTCATCAGAGGAAGTGTCTCATGGATTTGAATCTGATGATGGCTGACTGAACTCATTCGTGATTCAGCAAAGGCAGAAACGGCCTAGGGAATCAGAGCTGATAGATGAATAAGCAACAGTTGAAACTGGGGAACAGAAAGACTGCCAAACCCTTGGCTGACTAGCTTTTTAAATCAAGAGAGTAATTTGGTACCTAAAGATATGCATCATTAAAGTAATTATGTTACATTGAAACCTGCTGCTGTTGTAAACATGAGAAAAAAGCTTCCCCCTCTTTTGCCCCAGATGTCTTGCACCCACTCATTGCTGCCTCTTTCTCATCTCTATAGTTCAGGTGCACACTGCGAAGTAGAGTCATTCCTGTTTATCTTAAAAGACTGGACAGGCAATATTACTGGTTGCTCCTCTGGTGTTCCTAGCTGGGGGATGATGATGCAGAAGACCACGTAGACCTGGAAAGCCCTAATGGCTCCTAAAGAATCTCTCTCTGTGATGCATCACAAAAATAATTTGATCATACATAGGCTAAGACAGCCATACATAGCCTTTTAGACTAGTGGCCTAGCATTCTGCAGTTAGTTCACATTTCACAGATTAAAGAATGAAAAAAGATGCTTGTATGTACACATTATATCATATGCTATCCTTTATTTTATTCATTGTACCTATTTTCTTAATATACCTGCTGCCACCTCTTTCATCAGCACCAGTAGTTGCAGACTGCAGGATACCAAAAAGGGTGGGCCAAACTCCCACAGTGGCTAGGAGTACAGCAAGCCAGCACCCTTATCTGGGCATTTTTGAGCCCTTATTTGCTGCCCAAGTGAGTGGCCCACTGTTAAAGAGTTGAGGGACTCTTGGGTCTGTTGTCAGTGTTTGAACTGTGACTTCTCATCAACCTCAGGTCTGAAGTGGTATGAAGACGGTAGCCTCAACTCTGTGTTCTGTTGGCCCTGGCTGGATGGAGCTGGTGCTTCCTAGTCAGGAAGCCAGGGCTGCATTACCATAAAAATCAAAGGAAACGGTCCAGTAGGAGCCAGATTTGAATAACTGTTCTGGTTGAGAAGCTCATTTTAAGATTCTCATACCTTTCCTTGTTCACAGATATAAAGAGTCATGCCTTTCTTAAATGCAGATGTTTAATAAAACTCCGATAAAAGGAAAAACTTGTTTCACTTAATATTTTTTAAGGCCAAGAGCAGATCAATACTTTGCAAGTAATGCTGCTCCTTTATACAATGCTATTTGTAATTTTGGTACTGTTAGGGGCACTGGGGCACCTTACAGAAGCCTTAAAAGAAAGCAAATTGAAGCAGATAGCTCACTGTGTTTTGTGGGTTTATATGTTTGTATGTGAGTGCGTATGTGCAAGTCCAGTGTTAAAGCATGTAGACTGAGCATGGAGACATACTGAGGAGGGCCTTGAAAATACGCTTACTGCTTTACAATGTATGTAAACTATTCTGCAGCATAAATGCATTCATACTTTAATAAAAAAAAAGTTTGAGTTAAGATGTGGGGATCTTAAGCTGTCTTTCCAAAGCAAATGATACGGTTTTGTTTCATCCATGTGGGTTTTCTGTTCAGTTGCTCGTGGGGAGTGAAAATGTCTATTTATTTCCATTTATTTACTTCCATTACAAGTCTTCATGAGTATTATCATCAATATTTTTTTTTAATGTTTCATGTAAATTATTACTAATGAATTTACTCTCATTAAAAAAAACAAGTTACACTATATAGACAGGATTTATAGTTTTGGCTTTGAAGAAGCCTTCAGAGATACCCCCCCATTAAACCATCAGGCCAGTTTAAATTAACTCTGCTTACAGAAACTGCAGAATAGCTAACAGCTGAAGTGTGTGTAACACTGTAATTCTATAACGTGATGGAAAGTACAGCAGTAGTAGCAGGGTGGCACAATCCCAGGCTGCAGCAATTAATAACAAGCCCAAATGCAGCAGCTGTAGGGCAAAGAAAAACTGCTTACCTTTAGAGGGCCTCCAGCAGGCAGGGATCTCCAGAGAGATCCTCTTGCTTCCACTGCCAACCCTTAAATGAGCTCTGGGAGGGGTGGCTCCTGGCTCCTCCCCTTCCAATCACTGGTACATTGCGTGCACCTGAGCTCCCCTGGGTTGGCCCTGCCTGCCCACCAGGTGCTCAATCACTGGTTCAGGCCATGACTCGGCATTTCTGCTGCAGTGTGGCATCAGACTGTGGGCTGGGGAACAAAACACCAGGCCAGCAGGTTCCAGGGCTGTTTGTTTCTGTATCTTTGGATGATCCTCTGTTTCCAGATACGGCTTTAACTTTTTTAGTTCCTACAATGCTCATTTGGAAGCTGAGGGCTGTGTGTAGGCTGTATGTTGGTCAAAATAAAATCTGAGGCCTGTCACACATGTATCTTTGTTTTTACCAAAGACAAAATGAGGCAACACTTCAACTTTTGACAAATGATTTACACAGAGATGTTGCCATGTTTTCGCATCTTGTTTGAATGTTCTGCCACCAAAGCTGCTGCCCTGGTTCCATCATCTCAGTCTGGTGAGGGCCCTACAGTTCTGCACGTAGCCCATGGCACAGCGGCTGCCGCATGCACAGCCCCCAGCGGCCTCGCACTGCCAGGAGAAGCTGGGGCAGTTCTCGCAGAGGCAGCTCCTGCAGTACCCAGCACCGTGGTGTCTGCAGTATTCCTCAGCATCCAGAGACTGAGGGTTGCGGGGCAGTTTTGAATGACAAAAATGAAGTACAAAGCAGAAAATTCTAATCCCCGTGATCAGAAATTCAGACCATTTGAAAAACGAACCAGATATTTTCTAAGGCTACAGGCGTGCAGGAGGATGTGAGGGAACGTGAGCTCCAGTTCATCTTAGAAAATATGAGATTTGAAAAATAATCAGTTTCATGAGTTTGGATCCTTAGATTACTTTGAATTCTGGCCAAATCCCTCCACATTATCAACACCAAATGTGTGACGCTATTTGCATGAAGGAGAAAAGCTTTGACTCCACAATATCCAGAGTATGAGTTATGGCTGAATATTAGTTGCCAGTAGATACGGAATGAAACAATACATTAAACTCTTCCCTCAATTAATCTGCTGGAAAAGGAAAATCATATTTCCATCAGAAGTCCCTTCCAATTGGCTAAAGACTTTTCTTTTCCACTACAAAGAGCTCAGTTTTGGATCTCACCATATCCCTTTGTGGGCTGACAAGTTCCTTCAGCGTCAGCCAGGAGAACTCCGATGGGCTTTCTTTTTGTTTGTAGGGCCCATAGAGAAGAGTTAAATAACTAAGTAAGTGTGCTATTAGAAATGGAAGAAGAGTGGAGAGCCTTGAGGTCATTAGATCTCAACATCAGTGCAGAGCACCATTAGGTTCTCTGTGTACACTTAGATATATATATATATACATATACATGTGTACATATGCATACACATCTTTAAATTTGATGCTTGCTAATAAGTTTTTCATGCGTTGTGGGTACATGAAATCAGAGGTGTGTTTGTGAAGGCACATCTCCATGACACTGGTCAGATAAATGGCTGACTTTTTCTTTATTTATTTATTTTAGTGGGAAGCAAGTTACCTTGTCTATCTACATATAGCATTTGATATCCTATATTTATTATTTACCATTTACCACCAGAGCCAGCTCATTCCATGCCCAATTAGCTGCTATAAGAATGATGTATGATTGGGCTCATTTTTCCCCGTGGCAGTGGAGCTCTGAATCGAGATCTCTTAAATTATTAATTTGTGTGTAATTGGGAAGTGATAGTTTAAATGTATGGTTGTTATCCTGTTGTCTAGTGTTAAGTCTGCTAAGAATTTATAGAGAATGCATCCTGTGTAGAAAATAGGGCATTCATTATAACTTTTTTCTTATGTGATTTTAAACAGATATGGGGTATTTTTCAAAGGTTCTTCTTTTGTGAAGGTCAATGACAGAGTTTATTTCCTTTTGTGTACAATTTATGGTGACTGGCTGCCCTTATCCACTGCACCAGGAGTGTGTAAATGGGCTTTTTATCTCCAGAGCACCATCTTCCTGCACGCTGCCCTGGGGCCAGGCTGGGGGCAGATACATTGCTTTAATGAAAATGAGTGTATGTCTGGAGAGATGCTATTCTGTCTTGGGCAGTGTGCTGTCTGAAAAGAGTTTTACAATATGTGGGCAGGACAGACCCAGTGCATGTGCTGCCAGTGGGATCACGGCTGCGAGAGCTGCTTGGGTGCAGCAGCTGCTCTTGGGCAGGACAGATACAAACCTGGTTTACCCTGCTGGAAGAGGAGCATCAGATCATGCATTTCAGCAAGAGAAGTGACTGTAGCAAGCTCTTCTGAGAAGAACTGAGTTGAGGAAGTAGACTTGTAATGCACACCTGAGGCAGCATTAAAAATACGTGGAGTAACAATCTCTACCTCCCAAGCGCATCCTGGCAGTACTTTGGAAGATAATCCTAATGCTGTTCGAATGACCTAAGGCGGTGGAGCTTGAGCACGAGCCTTGCATCTTGTACTAGCAGGTCATGTAGGCAGAGATGTGATTTCCAATTACTGCTAGGCAGGAGGGGAGCATCTGAGAGTGCTTGTTTTGTTTTGGAATGTCTCCAGTGGAAGGCGTATATGAAAAGTCTTCTAATGTCTCCTCATCAGGAGGATGTATCATGTATCAGCGGAGAGACTGGGTACTTCCATGGACAAGGTGAGAACATCCAATGAAAAGGCCACAATAGCAGCCCAGCAATCATGGTAAAAAAGTGTTTTTTATTACTGTGCATATTATGGTACAAAACCTGACCATGCCTTCCCAAGGGAGAATTACTATGCTGACTGTGGTGCCTCTTTTCTTTCCCAGCTTTCACCACCAGAAGAGTGGAAAGATGTTACCAGATAAGTTGTCTATTGTGCTTTGATTTGTGTTCTGCATTACATTCTCTGTTATTTTCCTGTAAATTGTATTGCTGTCAGAAAGAGAGGAAACATTATAATCCTATGAATAATGCATAATGTGGATGGTTTTTTTTGCTTTTTCGTGAGCAGCATAGAATTTCTGGGAACAATGGACAGGAGAGGATTGCTGGTGTTGCCTTACAGATTTCATTCTGGGAAAGAAGTAATGTTTGAAGGTTGGTATCAGTCATGTGCATGTGGAAAAAGTAAGCCATCGCTATCTATCTCCAATTAGTTACCTCTTGTTTGGAGAGAGTGGAAAGAGTTTCAGACATAATTACTGTGGATGTTATTAATGAAGGTTTTCTTGCACAGTTGGGTTAGATTCTTGTGGCCTTGCTCCTGAGTGTTTGGTGCCATGCCACTGCTCCCTGGCTCAGGCTCCTCTTTAATGGATCCCAGACCAGGCAGTTTCAAGTAACAGCAGATATTCCAAATCCTGGGAGAATAATGAAATATGCAGAGGAATGTCAAAGGAAACTCCTCTGGAAAGGAAAAATAAGGTTAAATGATGACATAGTTGCCAGTGGCATATTTTCATAGCCGTAACAGATTTCGGGCTTATCCAAATGCAGAAACAGGTGAAAATGGAATTGTGCTCCACCACAGAGGTGCTCCAGGCTGAAACACAGTGCTTCGTGCTCACCTGGGCTCTCCTAAGGAGTTTGTTCCTGATATTCTATGGTGGTTTCTCCAGGTGATTTCTTTGTGTTTGTTCCTGTCAGCTCTCCTCAAACAATTAAAAGGCACTTGTGTCTCTCTTTCCTGTTTCTAATCACTGTTTCTGTTCAGCTGTGAAGGGAAGAGTGCCATGAGGAGCTGGAGCCAGACACACCGTGCCAGGAGCTGCGAGATCTCTGCTTTACTGCCGTGGCGCACCTGCTTTGCCTGCATCCTTAGGATGTCACCATCACCTCCAATAAGCTTTGTTCTGCTTTGTGGGTGCTTTGTCTTTTGTAGATCCTGTGCCCCAATGACATTTGTGACCTGCCAGAAAAAATATATCTATTTCCCCAAGTGTTCTGGAATTGTTTATGTGATAAAGTGTTGGTCTGCGGGGAGCTGAAGGGAAAATGCCAGGATGACCTTCCTACTGTTGGCAGGAGGATGACCAGCAGCAAGTGCCTGGCAGTCTCTAATTGACTCATTAGAGGTCTCTGTGGGTGTGCTCACAGGAGAGTAGGCACGTCTGTACTGCCTCTGCTGGTGAGAAGCACGGATGTCAGGATGGCAGTGCGGACAGGACTGGGGTCCCAGGTGGTGTGGGCCAGCCCAGGCATCACTGGATGTGGGGTGCTTCCACAGCTCAGACAGGCTGTAGGTCTGTGAGAGCTGGGGAAAACATGCCAGGTCAGGACATTCCTGCAGTGACTCTGCAGGAATCAAAGTGCTTCATCTGCCAGCAGGACAAGGTGATGCTAAGTTGTGCTGAGCTGCCCTAGGCCAGCCCACTCCAGTGCAGCAGGTTGCCATGTTCCCTGTGCCTTGCTTACAGAAATCTTAATACATGCTATTAGAAATTGTAAGAACAAAGAGTTTGAGCACAGTTTATAT